CCCCGCCGCGGGAAGCAGAACGCACTCCCCTCAGGCACCGGGGAAAGTAACCGAGGAAAGAACACCAGCCCCTCACCGGCCGCACCGCTTCAATCTCCCGCTTCCAGGGGGGGGACGAGAGCGGAGTCGCCAGTGCGCCTGCGCGCGCGCGCGGCGTGGTGACGAGCTGGCGTAGGCTGCTTTGCGCCTGCGCGCAGTGGAAGGCGGTGTGGGACACTGATGCGGGCGGGCCCGCGAAGCGCGTTCCTGCGGTCGGGCGTGCGGAAAATGTGTCGGTGGGCGCCGCTGACGCAAAGGTGCCGGGCAGGGCGGGGCCTGCGGTGAGCCTGGGAACCTCGTACACGCTTCTGTTGCAGCTGGGCATGCGAGGTCGGCCTGCTGTGTCCCTGAGGCCGGTATGGGCCAGCCAACCCATGGCTGGGATGGCTGGGGTCCTGCCCAAGGCCAAGTGCAAGTGCCCCTGTGCCAAGGAGGGGGGCTCCGGCCTCAGCTGGGGGCGCTCCGCAGGGCAGGCCCAGGCCCAGCCTTTTGGCATTGCCAAGGAGCCTCGGCTCCCCATCTCGAGCCACCCGTCATCTCTACCTCAGGCACTGTCTCCTCACAGAGGGGGAAGATCCGTACCCAAGAAATGCACCGGGAGAAGTGCAGTCTGAACAGCACTGTCTTGGTTCTGAGGGAAAGCGAAAGAAGTGAGAATAAAGAAACCTGGCTGGAAAAACTGGCAGGTAGATGGTGATTGTGACAAGGGGCAGCCCCAGCTGTAGTAGCAGTCATGCAGTTTAGAGCAGGATTAGAGGGTGCCCTGAGACTCAAAGGCACTGTTGAAGCACATGTGATTTTCCTGTCTTTCTTGGCAACCTTCCCTTCTGTGCCGCAGACCTGTTTTTCACCACATGGATTTATGTTTCTCAAAACTGATGTGTATGAAATGTTTTCCCAGTATAACTGTCAGGACTGAGAAAATGAGCTGTGGAAGCAATAACAGTGATAGCTCCCAGCCCGCTGTCTGTAGATGGTATCAGTGGTTTCCCCAGCACTGTCCACAGCCGAACTGCTCCATGCTGTGCATCAAGGTTTCACACAGCTGTGCTGAGTGTTGCACACGGAATATACGCACCCGCGTGCTCTTGCTAGATCACGCCTTTCATTTGTGTAGCAGAAATGCGCTCATTTCCTGCCTGGTTCCTCCTCACAATCGATGAGAGCGCACAGTTTTCTCTTCGCCTTGTGTAACTCCCATCTGTATTGACACAAGATACGCTCTTGCACTGAGAGGTGAGTAAGCACTGAGTGTAGGTGTGATAGTATGTTAGCAGTTGCTGTGCTTTTTGACCATAAGTATACATAAATTCACGCACTTCAAATAGAACTTCACAGGGATGACAGCAACCTTTTTTTGTCCTGCAGTAAAAATTATCTAAGCATTCAAAGCCCATCTAGAACAAGTCACTTTGAGAAATCTGAGAACTTGGGGCCTTTAGATTACTCCTTGTATAGGAGTTGACTATCTATGGGTGAAACAGATTTAGAAATAATATTTTCAATAGCAAATGTGGGAAGTTAGATTATGTGACTTAAGTTCTATGATCTATTATAACCATCTAGCAAAAAACTTGCATGGTACCTCAACTGTTGAGGCAGTTTGGAGGCACTTTTTAAACCTAGCCCTTTTTTTGTTGGTGGGTTTTTTTAATACCTGCAGCTAATTTAATGTCATAAATATTTTAATTTTTTAGTGTGTTAAAAATGGATTCCTGAGTGCAACCGTAAAAGTGCTAATAGAACTGCTGCTGCAAATTTATCAAGTGGGTTGGATCCCAAATACACTGGAGCTTTGAGATGGCATGTCTCCAAGTTCACAACACATTTCCTTGTGTCTCGAGGATGGTCCCAGCTTTAAATTACTCATGCTCTGTTGTACAGACATGTTAACAGCTGAGTTGCACAAGAACAACAGAAAGTTTGAGATATTATATCATTTGCCAGCAGAGATTCCAGTGAGATTTTACACGAACACAACACACAAAAAAGTCATCCTGTGCATTATCTTTGTTACTTTATTAGAGCAACGCCCATGTGCCCCACCCCAGGTGAGGATTACATTCTGCTTGAGACTGTGAATATAGAAAGACAGTTCCACACGTTGCGTTTATGAGTTTAATGTACTACACATAGAGCAGAGAAAAGGAAATATTATCATCAGTATTCGCTGATGGGTTATCACTCCAGGAAGAGATCCTGTTTCAGGTTGGTATTAAGTGTTTGGCTCTGTTTACCACATTTACCTATGGGTTTACTTGGTGTTCACATGTAATACTGCAAAACCATGACTTTTCCCAGATCTGGCACGGAGCTGGGAGCCAGGGTGTTATCAGTCACTATTCAGTGACTATCCCGTACTTTTATTGCAGAAACCCAGTAGTGATGGATATTATGTTACCCACAACTTAATGATGGCAAACACGAGTCAGACTAAAAACCTTCCTCTGAAAAAGTGCACATCTGTTTCCCTTGAGGAAAAGAGATTATCCATGTGTTATTGATACTGGCATGTTTATGGCACACTGTAGGTTGTTTCTCATACTGTTCAGTTAAGCTCACTGGTACGTGCACACAGCTAGCAAGTTCATTGCAATACAGTCTTTATTAAGCACTATAATGCTATTGTGTGCGGGTTTTTTTAATTCCTTTTGTACTCAGAATAGATTGGGGTAGGCAAAATAAAAGAAATAATTGCATAGGAAATTGTGCACTGGGTAATAAAATTAT